ATATCTTGCCATCAAGAATGGAGAAGACTTAGAAAAGACAGTGCCTCAGGAAAAATGAAAAATGAGGCATTCTAGCCACACAACTGGATTGATTTAGTAGAAAAGAGAGTTTGGCAAAATCCACTTAGCAGTTTCCTGCCTCCAGATACACAGAGCGGCCTGGAATGGAAATGTTTACTATTCTGCCATCTGTTCTCATGGGTGTCTGTCAAACTGGTTTCTGGACAGTCATTGACTCTCAATGGGTCATTTTCTCCACTCCCTCTTATCCTCAACACCCTCTATTTGGGAGAATAGATGTACGGGGAGAAATGGAAATGTTTAGGGCTAATCAACACCACATGAATGAGATCCTCCATGCTCACTCTAGCTACTCTCTCACTTGCCTGGACCATCATGACTGCTTAGCAGGCATTTTAAACAGCATCATCTGTGGGTCAAATTCAATACTACAGTTTCTCAAGTCTCCAGTTCCTTCAGCTCCACCCTTAGCCTTGACTCCATCTGCCATCCTCAAAAGAACTCTTTGACTCTCAAGACCATACTTTTTTCTTTTTTTGAGACATAGTTTCACTCTTATTGCCGAGGCTGGAGTGCAATGGTGCAATCTGGGCTCACCGCAACCTCTGTCTCCCAGGTTCAAGCAATTCTCCTGCCTCAGCATCCCAAGTAGCTGGGATTACAGGCATGCACCACCATGCCCGACTAATTTTGTATTTTTAGTAGAGACAGGGTTTCTCCATGTTGGTCAGGCTGGTCTTGAACTCCTGATCTCTGGTGATCCACCTGTCTCAGCCTCTCAAAGTGCTGGGATTACAGGCGTGAGCCACCATGCCCATCCTCAAGACAACTTTTATTTTATCCATGTGTATCTGTGATGTGAATTGCTGCTTCTTGGAGAGGTGTGGTGTGATGACCCAGATTCCCTCCTGTCCTCCTCAATCTCATTTCTTCACCATCCATCCCCACATCAAGAGGAAGATCTGTGACCACCCCCTGGAATCAGTTTCTCATGACCTTTCACTTAAACTCTTACTCCACTTTTTAATGGTTCTTCTTATTTATAACCTCTTCTCACTCCAGTCTATCCTATATACTGTGGCCAGGTAGTTTTAGTAAGTCAGCATTGATTTTTACATGGCTCGGAAACCAACAATATCTGCTCATTGCTGGTTTTTTGATATTTAATTCCTGCCCCTCCACTATCTGGCTCTAGACTACCATTCCCATGTGCTTCTCCTTATATACTCCGTGCTCATTCCCCTAGAGCCTTGTTATTCTTCACTTATAATCCAAGATTTCTTAACACAATATCTTCACTTTTTACTTCTTCTAATCCCACCCTCATTTAGCTTAATTTCAATGCCAAAATTCAACCCATCTTTCAAAGTTTATCTCAAAGGCCACTTCCCCCACAAAGTCTTTGCAGATCTCCCCAGTAGAATGTTATTGTTCCTTTTTTTAAAATCCTAAAACATGACTTTTTATCTCTCTTATTGTATATTCTCCATCCTCTCTTACAATAGAGGTTCTTAACTCATCCTCATCGTTACCTGGGATGCTTTCTAAAATTCTGTGTGCCTGGGCTGCACCCTAGAGATTCTGATTCAGTAGCTGGAGTGGAGCTGTCTCAGTCTGTTCTGGCTACTAAAACAAGGTACCATAGACTGAGTGGATTATAAACAACAGAAATGTATTTGTTTCTCACAGTTCTGGAGGACAGAAGTCAGATCAGCATGCTAACGTGGTTAGGTTCTGGGGAGGGCTCTCTTCTGGGTTGCAGACTGCGAACTTTTCATTGGATCCTCACATGGTGGAAAGATGGCAGGAGAGTTCTCTGGGGTCTCTTTTATAAGGACACTGACCTCACTCATGAGGACTCACTTCCTTAAGGCCTTCTAATACCATCACACTGGGAGTTAGGATTTCAACATGTAAATTTGGGGATGGGGGACACAACATTTAGTCCATGAAAGGAGCCTACTTGTATTTTTAATATAGATTCTGATGTAGTGCCAAGACTGAGAATAATCACTTTTTTAAAAAGTTTCCTTCATTGGGAGAACAAAGGAGATTACTAGGAAGAATAAATGAAAAGGTAAACTTGAATCATATCTCTGAATCTGTTTTCTTCTTTAAAATAGGGATAATAACACCTACTTCTCTGGGTTGTTATAAAGCTTAAGGAAGAAAACAGATATTGAATGTCTAAGCCTTAGCATAGTGATTAATCCATAATGATTTGTGAGATCTGAGTGTATACATTTACACTCTATGAAAAGGATGTGAATCACACACATATGTTCCCTGGCTGAACTTGAATGCTGGCTACTAAAGGAAGCTCCATGGAAGTTGCTTCACTGGGTGGCTTAACTTAGAAGCACTTCTCTTTCTGGAAAAGGAGAACTTTTCAGCATTGCTAACTCATTCCCAGAATGGACACATGAACTAACATGGCTATAATTTCACCACATTCATAATACAAAGAGGACACTGCAGTGAAGGGTCTACACAGACTTTTTCCATTTATGATCTCATCTCATCTCCTGATGCCCTGCAAGGGAGATGTTAATGCATTTGTTTTACAGGTATGAAAATTGAGCCTCAGAACTTAGATTTGCCAAAAAGCTGCATAAGTGGGAAGTGGCAGGACTGTAATTTGAACCCAGTAAAGTTAATTTTAACCTGAATACTCTTTACCTTTCACCACAACTGGCCCCAACAATTATCCTGTTAACTTGATCAGGCTATATGGACGCCCATTCTAATTGTTAGAGTTCAAAAAGGCATGAAGCTGAGGACAATTTACCTTGGCTTATGTGAATCAAATGAGCCGTGGCTTCACTGAGTATACTTCTGTGCTTAGTGGACACTGTTTCTTCTACTGGATCACATTCCCCACGGGCAACTCCTGCTCATCATTCAAGATTCAGGCACACGTGCTCACCCCAGCTGGTTCAACCCATCCTTTATTTTATAACTAAAGAACAAACAGACTATATCTATGCAATCAGTGTTATCTCCTCAGGCCTAGAAAGCAAAACATAGCTGTGAAAATATACCTGCTATGTTGCTATAGAACACACATCAATATCCTCATCCTTATAAGAATATCTTTATCCTTATGAGAATAGGCTGCTGCTGATGGGGCAGGAGGGAGGCTAGTATTAGAGAGAAAGAAAAATCCTACATTGCCTTGCATCTTTTCTCTTCAAACTAAATTTCTTTGATCTTCTTAATTTTCCCTGAAACTCATATTTTAATGAACAACGCCTTCATTTTAAAAAATGTGTTTGCTTGTTTGCTTGTTGTTTCTAGCAAGAGATCTACTCAACAGAGAACTCATATGTTCACAGTGAAGTGTAAATGACTGATTTGATTTTTGAGGGAGAGAACCTGAGAGCTGTCAGTCCCAGGGACCAGAAGCGGGTGAGAAACAGACACCATGGACAGTGGCCAGGTGTGGAGAAAGGCTTCAGGAAGCACAAGCTGGAACCCCAAAGGCAGATGCAGCAGAGCCTTCTCCACCACTGCACCACGTCTGGACCTGTTGGTGGAGATCCAGACCCAACAGTTCAATTTTTTAATATGGCATTTACCCAAACACCAAAAACTGAATTTACCAAAGTTTTAGATTCTCAATTAAATCACTTGCTGTTATGTTCAGAAAAAAAGTACATTTATGAACTTTGTAACCGGTCATTGCATCAAACATTTAAATCATCAACAATTAATCTGCTGTCCAGATATGTTCTAACCCAGGACGTATTTCTTTGGATCATTTTCAAAGTTCCTAAGTGACCTCAGGAAAGAGCTGAACTCCTTATCATAGCATCTCAAAGACACTCTTTACATATTAGTACATGTTATGTATCATATATGTAGACATATGCATTTATACACAGGAATACCTGCCTTTGCCAAATATGTATACATATACAGTAATTGAATATTCACAAAGACTGTGTATGGTAACAAACTACATGCATGTGGAGTCAGAATAAGTGGGACCAGGTTACATGATTTGAAAAGCATGGCCAGCGGCCTCTGACCAATAGTCTTCCATGTAGCCATATTATCTGGAAATCTCTCAGTGTCTTATTCCTTGAAGATGTACAACGTCTCATTCCCTGCTCCCTTGTCTTCTCCTCGTGAGTATAAGCCAAAGTATCCAGCTGTTGCAGGCCTAGAGCTACTGCTCCACTATGGGCCAGCCAGAGACTCAAGGGTCTCCCATGAAGAGCCTGCAGTAGCCCGCAGCTCAGTCTCTCTAAACATACCCTCTGAGGTTGAATCCCGGCCCCTCTACAAACTAAGCATGTGACTTAAACAAGTCATCTAAATGTCTCCAGATTTGATTTTATCTGTAAAATGGAGACAGTAATAGCATCTCCCTCCCAAAGCTATGTGAAGATGAATTGGGGTGCAGTACTAATGTCTGGGAAATCATAAATTTTTAGCAAATGTTCATTATTATCATCATCAGTATTGTTCTCTATATCTTTTCCATGGAGTCTAGTTTATAGACTAGGGATTTTCTATTGATGCCAAACCACATCTTCCAGAAGCAGCTCTAGGCCCCCGTACAAAGCCTGCTTTTTAATAGGACACTCAGTCACTCATTCTCCCCACATACAGTGAGGGAGGATAAGTACTGAGATTCTCTAGTTGGGCTCCTTGGTCCCAAAATATCTATCACAAACCTCAAAATATTCCCCTGCATAAGTTAATTCAGCCTCAGCATCTTACATAACCAGAAAGTGTATCCATGTAACTTCAGGATTAGTCTCCTGTTCCTTTTCCTTGACCAATTTTGTAAAAGTAAATAACTAAAACACCCAAAGCAAAGAGTAGAGAGTTGGAGTGTTGAAAGACTCCCCCATTTTAGGATACTAAATCACATTATAAAGTTGCAAAACTGTCAGAGTGTAATTAACCCATGTTGCTTCATATTCCTGATGCAACAATTGTTTAAGACACGGCTTTAAAGAGGACTGAAAGAGAGCTGTGAGTGGCACGTGATCCTGTGAACCTCAGGCTGCTCACCAGGGAAGGGCCCTACCACAAAGGGCAAAGAGAAAGCCAGGGTCGGTAGTGTTTGAAGAGAAGATCATGTTCTGTCTGAAGACACTTCCATTTCTGCTCTTACTCCATGTGCAGATTTCCAAGGCCTTCCCTGTATCTTCTAAGGAGAAAGATACAAAAATTGTTCAGGTAAATGAACTATCAGTTAGGTGGTGGTTGATTTGCTGATTATTAGGAAATAGTGTGGGTTGTTTTCTCTTGTTAGTTAAAACAGCCTGAAAGAAATTATCTAGATTAGTTTGAGGTTGAACATCTTCTTTTAGTGATTTGGAGGGTTCCAAGCTGGTAAGGACTAGGCCTTTAAAAGCTGGACGTGAAAACAAGATGATTTCTTTAAAGTCTGGGAAAATGCTGCTGTAGAATGTAGGGCTAAGGGTCCCACAGGGTTGTAGGGTGTCCCTTACGCTGTGCTGAGGAGCAGCATCTGAGAAATAAAGAGAGAGGACACAGAAGTACCAAGGAAAACACAGCTGGGCTCATGGGGGGCCAAGCCACCTATAAGCAGAGACAGGTGAGGCCTGAATGTCCAGAAGCATCTGTATTTATTGTGTATAGGTTAGGGGGCAGGGCAGTGAGTGAAGTCATCTTTAAGGATAGTGATAGGGTCATGAGCAATAAAACAAGGGGTCCATCCCCATTAGGTCACCTAGGCTGGGAGATGCACAGTGCCCAGTGAGGGGTCCATTCCCATTAGGTCATCGAGGCAAGGAAGTTGGCCATGTGCAGTAAGGGGTCCACCCCCATTAGGTCACCAAGGTATGGAGGTGGGTCGTGTGCAGTGAAGAGGGTGCAGTGTGCAATACCTCTATCTATGGGCATGCTACTGCTAAGAAGATCTATAGGAGGATGCTTAAGTCCACAGCAGTGACAGAGCTGTCAGGGTCTACCACTACCTGCTGGCACCTTCCAATGAATTCTATAGGAGGATGCTTTTTGGGCAGCACAGTAACAAGAGCTGATAAAGTTCACAGTCACCAAGTTGCGGTTATCTGGAAGGGCTTTGAGCCCTCAGATGCTCGAGGGATTGCCGGTCTGAGGGCAGCCTTCCATAAGAACTGGAGCAAGGTCCTACGACTCCTTTATCAGGAGGAGTGTTTCTTGCCCCAAGCCTGCCATACAGCGGGTATCTTTACGATACTGAATGCTGCCACCTGGGCCATGAATTCTTGTCCTGGTATAACTGTTTTCCCTTGAATAATGCTCTGCACTGTGCCTGCTCCAGACATTCCTCCAACTATAAGCTGTTTATTCCTTAATTAATGCTCTGTGCCATGTCTACTCTAGGCATTCCTCTGATATGAACTAAGATCTAGTTTTATATATATATATATGTATGGAAATAACTGAGTGGTAAGATATTCTTAGGCACTCATTCTATGAACTAATATATACAGTGGATTATGTAAAGGGAAATAACTGAGATATTCTTCAGGCCTTAATTGTGCCAGGATTCTGCTTAGCTCTCCTTCCTCGATACCTACATGGGGGGTTACCCACAGTAGAACTACAGCTAGCTTGGAAAATTTTTTAGATTAAATGGTTTTATTTATAAAATGATATCATTTTCTTTCTCATTTATCTAATATTTTTCCTACAAAGATATCTTCAATTAAGTTACTATATGTCTGGTGTTTCCACATAGGCATTTTCTTTGCCGCCAAAATTTCCAGATGTAGAAGAGAATGTGAGGATGGGAGATTATAATAAACTAGAAATCAGTTCATAGTATAATCATATTTCCCAGCACCAGATTCAGATTGTGGACTGTTTATAAACTTTTGGAAGCATTATAAAAGCAGACCAATAGTTTTTTCTATTGTTTCACAGTATGAAAGTGAGGCCAAATTTTTAAGAAACACAAGGGAATTTTGTCACAAATCTCTCATGCACAGTTTTCTTAACATTACAGTTTGGGGAAAGCATTATTATTTTGCTTTTTTGGTAGGGGAGGCTATCCCATACAATGGTAATTGTAACCCCCAGATTAATGTAGAGTCCATTGAGTGCTTATTCTGTACAAGGCAACTGCTACGCATTTCACGAATATCTCATTTAATCATCACAAGAACCCTATTGGGGTGGGGGGAGCATTATTATTTCCATTTCAGAGACAAAAATGAATCTTAAATCAGATACATAATGTATCCAAGTGTTCACAGTTAATTCATAGCAGAGTTAAGATTTGAACCCAAACCTGTCTGATCCAGAAGTGTGTGCTCTGGTCAGTGTCACCTACTGCTGTGGTTAGAGTGTGCCCCTTGAATTTATGTGCTAGAGATTTGGTAGCCAGTGTGACAGTGGGTCCTTTAAGAGGTACTTAGGTCATTAAGAAAGATTAATGACACGCTTGTAGGACTGGTTAATTCTTGCTGGAGTAGGTTCTGGTTCCTGCAGAACTGGATTAGTTATGCAAAGAATGGGTATTATAAAGAGGGACTGCCCTTTGTGTTTTGCCCCTTTTCACACATGCTCACTCCCCTTCCATTTCTCTGCCATGTTATGACACAGCACAAGACCCTCTGAGAAGCCAATCAAATGCAGTCACCTGATCTTAGACTTTCCAGCCTCCAGAATTGTGAGAGAAAATAAGCCCCTTTTATGTAAAAGTTACCCAGCTTTAAATATTCTGTTATAGTAACAGAAAATGACTAAGATGCTGATGAGATGCCAGGTGTTCACAGGCAGCATGAGGTCTAGTTAGGTTACAGTTCACTATGCATGAAGAAACCTTTAAGTCAAACAAAATATGTAATTTTTAGGCTAAACATTTTGGATTTTGACTAAATTTAACACTTCCAAAGGAATGTTGGCGCCTTCCAAAGAGTTACCTTGGTGAATAAAATGCTAATATTGATACTGGTATTTCCCTAAAAGAGATTAGAAAATATTTTGAAATTATCAGTTCTCATTTGAGAGGCAACACGGTGAGTTAAACCTGGATCATCACTTGGAAAATTCCTTATTTCTCTGTGCCTCCATTTGTTCATGAGAATAATTAAGCCTTTCCTACAGTAGTGAAGAGGATAAGAAAGAGGAACTGCATTGATGCAACAAATACCTCGAGAGAAGTCAATTAATGTTAGTTCTAATTTTTTTTATAAAAACAAGAAGGCAGGCACCTGACTGTATAGTAGCACTGTATAGTAGCACCTGTGTGATGTGACCCTCATCCCTTATGAGACACCCATTTTTATGCATAATCATTAACTGGAGCGCTGAATGGAGGAACTGTTCTTTCTAAATCGTTGTTCTCTCAAAGTCAACCTACAAATTAATTTGTGTTATTGTTCCTGTGGCTCTCAGGTTATTAGACCTCTATGGTAACTTAGAAATGGGTTGTAAAATGACCAGGAAACTAGAAGTACTTTCACAGCAAGAACCTATGTGCTGGTCTTTGTCTAGGACTACCTGGAAAAGTTCTACCAATTACCAAGCAACCAGTATCAGTCTATAAGGAAGAACAGCATTAATATGATTGTTGAAAAGCTTAAAGAAATGCAGCAATTTTTTGGGTTGAATGTGACGGGGAAGCCAAATGCGGAAACTCTGGAGATGATGAAACAGCCTCGCTGTGGAGTGCCTGACAGTGGTGATTTTATGATAACCCCAGGAAACCCCAAGTGGGAACAAACTAACTTGACCTACAGGTGATATTTCTAGGGTTTCAGAATTCACTCATTCATCCGGTATTGACTGAGCTCTTCTATGACAGATACTGTTCTTTGTCTTGGGATACACTGGGAACAAGTAGATAAATATTCCTGCCCTTGGAGAGTGTGAAGAGTGAATGAGTATGAGAATGAAAACGTAGAGATACCATGTGTTCTTTCCAATTCAAAGCTTGCCATTTTAGTCTTCCTTCTCCAGCAACCTAAAGAGGACTATGGCAATGTTAGGCTATCCCTCTAAGCACTCACTTTAGGACCCAACAAAGGCTTAATCATTGCTGGAGAGAATCTATTCCCTCCTTTCATACATCTTAATAATAATATCTAATATTTGTGGAATAATACTATTTGACAAGTAATGAACTAAATGCTTTGCATTTATTTAATCCTCATGACAGCCCTATGAGTGGGATATTATTTTAGTATCCTCATTTTATGAATAGGAAACTGAGGTTTATAGACATTTATTAACTTGTTCAGAAGCCACATCTGTCCTCCACCCTGAGAGCTGTACTCCCTCCTTATCCTCTCCAGTGGCATCAAATCATGATGCAATTCACTTCAAAATAGAACAACTCATCTGTTGATGAACTACTGTTCTAAATAATATTTAACTCTTCATACATTCTCTCATTTTGAAGGATTATAAACTATACCCCACAGCTATCAGAGACTGAGGTAGAAACAGCTATTGGGGATGCCTTTAAAGTCTGGAGTGATGTATCACCTCTCACCTTCACCAGGATCTCACAGGGAGAGGCAGATATCAACATTGCTTTTTACCAAAGAGGTAGGTGCAAAACAGTCATGCTCAGTTTTGCTTTCTTTGGCAAACCTGAAACTTGGCAAGGATCTAATACAAATTTTCTTATTCCAGATCATGGTGACAATTCTCCATTTGATGGACCCAATGGAATCCTTGCGCATGCCTTTCAGCCAGGCCAAGGTATTGGAGGAGATGCTCATTTTGATGCAGAAGAAACCTGGACCAATACCCCCGAAAGTAGGTTAATCAAGATTATGTCCACACACAGCTTCCGAATTAACCTTTTCCAGATTAGAATACACACACATACACACACACACAAAATAAAGGTATCATAATATTTCAAACTAACAAAAAGCAATAATTGGAAACTTTTGCTACCTCAAATACTAAGTCAATTTGGGTTAAAACAAACCAAAAACAAAACAAAAACAAACAAACAAAAAAACACTGAATACGATTACTGACCTTACTTCTTAGGGCAGAGATCAGAAAACTATTTACTATGGCCAAATCCTACTTGGCCCCTGTTTGTATAATTAAAGTTTTATTGAAACAGGGCCACATTTATTTGTTTATATATCATCCATGGCTGCTTTGACTCTACAATGGCAAACTGAGTAATTGCGACATAGATCATTTGGCTCACAAAGCCTAAAATATTTACTAACTGGTTCTTTACAGAGAAAGCTTGCTGACCACTGCTTTAGGGTATATCTTTATTTTCATATTCCCAAATATAGTGATGTTTGAAAATAGCCTATTTTTCCATTTTTTTGGGAAATTCATTTAGAAATTAGTCTATTTAGAAAAGAGCAGCCACCTTCTCTCTCACCTAGTTAGTTCATCTTCATGGAGCCCTTTTTCAGTGGTATGCTTCTGTGCAGCAAGCCAGTCCTTTCAGGAGAAGGCTCCTGTTAAGAAGGGCTGTGCTGCCTAAAGGGAAGAAATGAGGCTGAGGACAGGTATATCCAGACCATGTGGTACTTCCCAAAACATGGGGTAACAATATGCCAGAGGGAACTTTTAGGAAATAATCAGAAAGGCATCTTTTACCTTTGCTGGGCACCTGTTCCTCCTGCCATTTTCTCAACATGGGTATGTTATGAGGGTCTATTCTACCTAAGTCCATATGCTAGGAGCTGTGTGTAGCCAAAGATAGGTAACAATTCTCCACTCCCCTACATTCCTATTGCCCTCTTCACTAGTTCAGATAATCATTACTTCTTACTTGAACTAATGATCTAGATTCCCAGCTGGACCCTTCCTCTCTAGTCTGTGCTCCCTCTACTTTTTCCTACGATTGCAGCAGGGTTTGTTTTTAGAAAGCCTATCCTGGATCATATCACGCTCATGCTTAAAAGTTTCAGTGTTTACATATTCTGCACCAAATAAGGTCCAAATATCTCCACTTGGTATTGAAGGCCCTGGGTGATTTTTCATCCTTGTCTTTTTTGGCTTGTCTTCTTATTTCACATATACCATTCACATTGGGCTAACACCCACATCGTACATTCACTGTTTCTAGGTCACACCTGTGCTTTTTAGCTTTCTCACATTTGCTAGCATTGTCTGTTCTCCCTGAAATACTCTTCCCATGCCCCAAGAACCAGCTTTTAAAATCTGTCTCATCTTACCATGCTATGTATGTTAAAGGCCACCTTCTATCTTCTCTTGGGCTGGAAATGAGAACTTCCTCTGCAGAATTCTGACAGCTTTTGTATCTCTTTCTCTATCAACACTCATTCTGTGCTTTCAAATTGTTTGCACACATGTCTCCTCTTCTAGACTACATACTCCCTGTAGAGCAGGGAACCACAACAAATTGCCCACAGTTCCTTTCACGATGTTACAGGTATTCAAAGATGTTTTTCTGAAACGCATTCATGAATGTATAATTGGAAGTATGTGATGTTAAGAAAGCAAATTTTAGAGCATGGGGAGAATTTTAGTAGGCTAATTATCAACTGAATGTTGAACATTTTAGTAAAGAGCATGGATCTTGTCATTATACCTGGATTTGACCCCAATCTGTCACTTACTAGTTGCAAGACCAAGTACAAGCTATTCAAAATCTATGGGCATCAGTCACTTTACAGTAGAAATATTGTTAACAAAACTTCAGGAAAATGTTGTGAGGATTAAATAATATTAGATTGCCTCATATGTGGTAGGTGCTCTACAATAACGGCTCTTAAAAAAAAAAGTAGGCATGTAAAAAATGCATCAGGGGTTTGTGAGGCAGCATGTAGACTGGCTGGACTCAAGGATTCACATCAAAAGGCAAACACTCAAATATCTGCTGGAGCCAAGTGGTGGAGGTCTTGAAGGCCAGGCAAAAGAGGTTGGGCTTTATTTGATAGGAATTGAGATCCTTGGAAGGTTTTAAGTTTCCAGTTGTGAATGGCACTGTGCTCATGGAAATTAAAACATAGAGAAAGGGAGCAATAAGAGATAGGGTTTGTCTGTCTCCATTGGAGAATTCCTAGAGCATCTTGGAAAGCTCAGAAACAGAGAAGAGTTGGTGCTAAGCTGTGGGTGATGAGGGAGCCAACATGAGCCAGCCCTGCATCTGAGGCTACTCTACTGTCGGGCTAACTTCTCTTTAACTACTTGCTCACTGGGAGTCTACTTATGAGGCTGAGGGTCTGCGACACTCAAGATGGTGGGTGTGGGAACACAAGAGGAGAAGGGTTTCCAAATTCATGATGGCTCTGCCATCATTTCTCCAGGCCTCAGATGCACATTTGTAAAATGTGAGAATAGGAATAAATGCAGCTTTTCTGGGTTCTAAGAGTTTATAAGAAGTTCATACTCACCTATCCCCACCTATCTTGATTCTTCCCAATGTCTGCTTTCTCGGGTATCTGAAAGAAAGACGAAAAAGACAGCCATGGGAAGGGCTATTTCCCTGAGCAGTTTTGGCTTGAGTTTGCACTCCTTGAGATCATGTTTCTGCCATGCTGTGACCCACAATGAGCAGTTTACTATCCATGTTTGCATTTCAGATTACAACTTGTTTCTTGTTGCTGCTCATGAATTTGGTCATTCTTTGGGGCTCTCTCACTCCTCTGACCCTGGTGCCTTGATGTATCCCAACTACGCTTTCAGGGAACCCAGCACCTACTCACTCCCTCAGGATGACATCAATGGCATTCAGGCCATCTATGGTAAGATCTTCTAAAGACCGTTGCAGTGCATGGTGGGACCTGGGAATAGGCGGACACTCCCAGTATTTGAATATCTCTTCCTTTGCACTTCTTGCAGTTTCCATAAAACTGAACTCTGAAATTCCCCAGTAATATAGCATTAACAAATAGGGTGTTGGGGGCTAAGTCTCTATTGCTGCCCTAAAAGAAAAAAAGGTTAGGAAGAAATGCACTACAGTGGTTCCCAGTTATTGTCTTTGGATGGTGGGGATTTTCTTCTTCTTTTTTATGATTTCCAATTTTAAATATTCTTTTTTTATTTTATTTTTTTGAGATGGAGTCTCACTCTGTTGCCCAGGCTAGAATGCATTGGCACGATCTTGGCTCGCTGCAACCTCTCCTTCCCAGGTTCAAGCGATTCTCCGGCCTCAGCCTCTTGAGTAGCTGGAATTACAGATGCCTGCCACCACACTTGGCTAGTTTTTGTATTTTTAGTAGAGCTTGGGTTTTACCATGTTGACCAGGCTTGTCCTGAACTCCCGACCTCAAGTGATCTGCCCATCTCAGCCTCCCAAAGTGCTGGGATTATAGGCGTGAGCCATTGCACCTGGCCCCAATTTTAAATATTTTTAAAAGACATGACTATCCCTTTTCCTGCAGCAATCCTGATCCTAGATGTAGTTCTCAAAGAAATTCTCATGTAGGTCCATAAGAGGATATGTACAAATCATGCCAAAGACATTCACTGCCATGTTGTTTGTGGTGGTGGAAATTGGAAGGCACCTGGGGGTCTATTAGAAGACTATAAAAATAAAATGTGGTGGCTGCACACCATGAAGTGAGGTGCAGGAGTCAGAAGCATGGAACTAGATGCACATATGGCAACAACATAGATGGGTCTTTAAAACTTTGTGCTTTGTGAAAAAAGAAACAGAATGAGATATATTGCACAATGTATTAATCAAATTACACAATATGTAAGTCTATGTAAACTTAAAATGTATATAAACAAAGCAAGGCATTTTCAAGAAACATGCAAACAAAAAATATATATATGAACATACTAATACAGTTGTCTGTGGGAGGAGAAGGGGAATGGTCGTGGAGTATGGAGAGAAAAAAGAAACTTTTTTTAAGGCATTACTGATACGTTTCGAGGATGAGTATAGGGGCTTTTTGCCATATTGCCTGAATAAGCTCATTACATCTCTCTTCACGCTTGCCCTTCTGTTCCCTAGTTGGCTGTGAATAAAAAAAAGAAACCAATAAGGGATTTACTGCTCCCTAAAAAAGTGTGGAATGGAATGGAATGAAATGGAATGGTGGATTGGAGTGAAATAGAATTGAATGGAGTGGAACAGAGTGGAGTGGAATTGGGAAATGCTCTCTCCCCTCTCTGGTGGGACAGCACTCTGAAATCAAGCAAGCATGCCAGGGTGCCACAACCAGAGAACTGTTTTGTGATTGTAGATTTTTCAGAAATGATGAGCCTACCCTAACTGCCTCTATTCCCCAACTTCTTCCTCCTGCCCATCCCAGCAACACCCCGTTATTTTGTTCACCAATGTTTTTATGTTAACTATTTTTATAGTCTTTCATTCCACAGTGAGAAAAAACATTAAAATTCAAATACTTACAGAAAAAATATTGCTAAAATCTGACTTAGATGTATGCTACAGAGTAAAAGGCTAATATCATTCTTTTCTGAAAGTGGATTTCTGTGAGAAGAGAGGCAATAGATACTGAGTGACCAAAAAATCAGAAAGAAGAACTAAGAAGTCAGAGAAGGATTGGCTTAGAATTTAAAAAGGAGGGAAGGAGCATAGAATTCAAATTTCTTTACTTCACAACTTGACCTGGAACTGACCCTGAAAGCCATCATTCCTTTTAATAAACAAACAAAAACTTTAAAAAGATGAAATATACAGTTACTTTCATACTTTATGGTATGGTCTGGTAGCACTTTTCTTCACATGAAGACCCTTCACCTTTCTGAGAAGTCTCTGATGTACCCAAGACTCACACTGGACTTTTGCTTATAAAAAAGACCTTTTTTTTTTTTTTTTTTCAGGACCTTCAAGCAATCCTATCCAACCTACTGGACCAAGCACACCCAGACCCTGTGACCCCAGCTTGACATTTGATGCTATCACCACACTCCGTGGAGAAATATTTTTCTTTAAAGACAAGTATAAAATTGAAATATTTCTTCCTTTGATTCCTCTTACTAACATACCTTAAAACTGGATTCAAATTAGGTCAACGTTAGTCACCTTTTCCTTGAATTCTACACCTGTACTTCTCATTGGAATTTTTTTTATAGGTTCTGGGGCACCATTAAGGTTATCATAGGCCCCGGAGATTAACTTTATCATCTTCATCTTTTAAAGACGATTTGTACCATTTTTATGTCTATACTGGATTTATGCAATCAAGTATTTTCTGGATAACTCAAAATATCCAGGAAAAAAAAAAACATGAAAACATTAACAAACATTCAGATGCCTTTGGTGATATAAATAGACATGGGCTACAGCTGCTTGGGAATCCCATAGTTAAATTTACTCAACACCAAAGCACCATTCAGTTCCATCCATAATCAGTCAAGTAAATGGAACCTGCTGCTTAACTAGCTATGCAGCAAATCATCTAACTGAGTGAAATTTTTATTTGTTCGTTGGTTATTTTGTGACTGTGCAAATTACAGGCTGAGTGTATGTGCTGTTGCTTTTATCAATATGTTCTCAGCATTTAGTGGGAGGAATAATGAAAGATACTACAAAGTAAGATTTTTCAATGCGCAAAGGCAAGACAATGACAAATGTAATCAAATAAGATCACTCCTGAAACCTCCTCTGAAAACTGTCAAGTACTCACTAGATGGACAATATCATCATAAAGCTTAGCCATTTGGTGGTCACTGTGCTAGGAATTTTACATTAATTAGATTATTATACTCTCCCAGCAATCCTACAAGGACCATCACTAGCTTGAAAGTCACAGGAACTGCCTACTTAGACTATGTATGTGTGTGCGTGTGTGTTTCCTTATTTTTCGTTAGGTACTTCTGGAGAAGGCATCCTCAGCTACAAAGAGTCGAAATGAATTTTATTTCTCTATTCTGGCCATCCCTTCCAACTGGTATACAGGCTGCTTATGAGGATTTTGACAGGGATCTTGTTTTCCTATTTAAAGGTAACTTCCTAAAGTTTTCATCTTATGTTTATTCTACCTGCAGGGAGTGGGCAGGACTTCTTTGTAGTCACTTCCAGGTCCACTGCTGTCCAGGCTTTTGCAGAAGACTAGAGTTGGGCCCCATCAGAACCACTAACTACTGTGTGAACTTGAGTGGGTTATTTGCTCTTCAGCAGCCGTCAGTTTTCTCTCTAACAAAATGAGACCACTAGACTGTTGTTAGCATACTTCCATCCTCATCCCAGATATAATTCTCTAAGACTCCTCAAGGCTGTAACTTGGTGTAGGTACAAAAGTCACACAAACTAAGGCATCTAATTTTGGGGCCCTGAATGTCTTGCTAAGAAATTTTAATTTTTTATGGGCTCTGGGGAGCCATTAAGTCTGTCACAGCCTCCCTGAACTTAACTTTACTATCTTTATCTTTTAAAGACTATTTGTTCCATTTTCATGTCTATGTGCAAGACCAAGAAGTGATATATATATATATGTTATTTTATAAAAATGGAAAAGTCTTACTTGTCATTTAACCTGAATCATTGACAGGCAACCAATACTGGGCTCTGAGTGGCTATGATATTCAGCAAGGTTATCCCAGGGATATATCAAACTATGGCTTCCCCAGCAGTGTCCAAGCAATTGATGCAGCTGTCTTCTACAGAAGTAAAACATACTTCTTTGTAAATGACCAATTCTGGAGGTAATGTAAACTGTTTTTTCAATTATAGTTTGAAATCTGTGTTTCTCTACCCTGTCTACAAACCTTCAAGCATTTGAAGGTTTAAAACAATCTAGGTAGTCTTTAATGGGTTTTACTGAGAATATATTCTTTTTTACAGGATGACTGATGTTACCATGGCTTTTGAAAATTTTCGTTTTTATAAAATTAAAATGTCTACACAATAGTATTGAGGATTCTGCATCATGAAACAAAGAAAGCCTTAACAAAGAGATAGGGTGAGATACAAAGAAAGATTTAGGCTAATTCTCATTTATGAGTTAAATTTGGACACATGCCAGCAAATGTTATCCAGATAGCCTGCAGAATTTGGTTCCCAAGTTGAACCTATTATGTATGTTTATATATATACACACACAGAAGGAGTTATACTATATACCAATTAAGTAAAAGCTTTGAAAACATAAACTTACTTTGGAAAAAATAACAGTGTGTCTGCTACCAGAAGCCTGTTTTAGAATTAGTGATACCTGTAAGTTTTATAAATACGTACCCTCAGGTAGAGAAGTTAACCATTCTTAATCCTAGTAAACAGGACATTGTGAGAATTGAATGAAAAAAATTGTGAGACTTTGTAACTTACATACAATTTTAAAACATTATTTTTATTCTGTATTGGTCTTAAATCGGGTGACATTTTGTTTTTACCAGATATGATAACCAAAGACAACTCATGGAACCAGGTTATCCCCAAAGAATATCAGATATCTTTCCAGGAATAGAAAGGAAAGTTGACGCAGTTTTCCAGCAAGAACGTAAGTAGAAAAAAGAAAAAAAAAAACTAATAAATGTGTTGTTTGTTTATTGCAGAGGAGATAGGGTCTTACTGTGCTGCCCAGGCTAGTCTCAAACTCCTGGCCTCAAGCAATTCTGCTGCCTCAGCTTCCAAGAGTTCTGGGATTATAGGCATTAGCCATCACACCTGGTGTTTAAACTTTTTAAATAGTATGTTTGCATTTGAATGCTATACTGGAACAGGGGCAGGTTTTCTAACTGAAGACATCTGAGATCTTCTATAAGCTAATTCAATAAATTATCTCTTTTCTTTTTTTTATAGACTTCTTCCTTTTCTTCAGTGGACCAATATATTATGCATTTGATCTTAGTGCTCAGAGAGTTACCAGAGTTGCTAGAGGCAATAAATGGCTTAACTGCAGATAAAGTTGAAGCAAAATCAAATATGGTTGTATCCATTTTCAGAATGTGGAAGGGAAGTTTAGTATGCATATTCATTACATTGTGTCCTATTTATACTTTTCTCACTATTAAGTCATTGTTTGCCATCACTGTATCCATTCTGCCTGTTCTCAGTAAAATATGTTTGGAATATTCCACTGTTTGCAGAGGCTTAATCAGTTCTTATATATTCCACCTTAAATTAGTGAATCCATCAAAGAGAAGGAAAGTAAGCCTTTTGTCACTTCAATATTTACTATTTCAATACTTATATATCTGACTTCTAAAATTTATTATCTTATTATTTGCCTATCTGACTGCATATATACCTCAGTCTCTCTCTTTAAATGTCCTATGTATATCTTCTACATGCAATTTAGAACTAGATTTTGGTTAGAAGTAAGGGTTATAAGCAACCTAGCCAGTACCCTTTGCCTTTACAGAAATTGTGGTGCTGTTGCTGTTTTCTACTCTTGGAAAGAAATATGGATGATATATTTTGTGGGTTGAATTGTGTCTCCCATATAAGATATGTTGAAGTTCTAACCCCAGGTACCTATGAATGTGAGCTTAATTGGAACCAGGGTCTTTGCAGATGAATTAGTTAAGGTGAGGTCATACTGAATTAGGGTGGGCCTTATTTCTCAGAGAGTCACCATTATGACTGTTGTTCCTATAAGAAGAAGAGAGACATGGGAGGAGTCTATGTGAAGGCAGAGGCAGAGCTTGGAATGACATCTTCAAGCCATCTCCAAGCCAGGAATGCCACGGACTGTAAGCCACCACTAGAAGCTTAGAGGCATCTCCAAGCCAGGAATGCCACGGACTGTAAGCCACCACTAGAAGCTTGGAAGAGGCAAGGAAGGATTCCCCCCAATAGCCTTTAAGCATGACCCTGCTGACACCTGCAGATTTCAGACTTCTATCCTCCAGAATTGTGAGGGAATAAATTTCTTTTGTTTTAAGTCACCAAGTTTGCAGTACTTTGTTACAGCAACCGTAGACACAATGTATTAAACACAGTGCATCTACACTTAGGAAAATGAATCAACAAAGGATGCTGATGTGGAGCCCTTGCTAAGGACTACTAGGCATCTTCCCAGGAGAGCAGCCTAAAGAGACCATTACCTCCTCTCCTCCCTCCTCCTGGCTCTCTTCTTCTACAGTCCAAATAAATAGGCTGGGTGGATCTGATGTTCCTCAGTTCTTTATTTCCTGGGGTACTCAGGAGGGCACACACTATAGATTACTGGGGTTTACTGCATAAAATTCAATGTCTCATTAAGTTGCATTAAACTGAGCTTAGATGCATAAGTTTGCTAATGGATGAGTTTCTTTGTTAAGAACTGTAGGATTTATGTGACCATGTCTAGCTAGTCCAGATGTTAAAATCATTATAATGTTATATTTGCTGTTATTAGAATATAATATAGATTATTATGCAATAAATATGTGGACTATAAAGCATATTTCTCACTAGTACTTCCTATTTTCTTTTTCTGTTAAAGTTTTTAAATCCCACAGATAATTAATTTGGCATCTTTAATCTGGTTTGAAAATTTTTAAAATCTATTAAATAAGTTCAAATTAAAGATTTTTACTTTAAATAACTGAGTTGTGATTTGCTTCTAATTTCTTAAAGTATCACCACATAATTCACCTAAAGTATAAAAAGGAATAGCAAATTTTAGGTATATTTGCAGCCATTTATTCTTGTGTCAGAATTATTATAATATTGATAATAAATTTTAGATACTGCTTCACAGCATCCGAAATATTTTATAAATATTTGAGATCTTCAAAAATTTTGTTAATACATTATTGGCAACTTATTTTACAAAATAAGAAAACTGATACAAGTATGTACTCTCATTACATCCATTGATTTATTCAGCAAGAATTAATTGATTACCTACCATTAATTATGTGTCAGGGGTGGTGCTAAGGAAAGTGAGAGAGACGTATAAGCAAGTCATCACATCAATGTAACAAGTGCAAAAGGACCTATAAGAATTGAATATTACATTTTTAATCATAGAATCAATTTCAGACTACCATGTTTTTTAAAACTTTCTATAATGTTAGTTATGAAAGTTTTAGGAAACTACAGGCATGAAAATGAGTGTTTTATCTTCTCAGAACACCTGCTAGTTGTGCTAGCTAACTATGATAGATTCTTGGCTCAAACCTCATCTATACATCTTTGAGATAAGAACTGATCTCATATTATTTTTTAACCACATTTGACAGAGTCATAGACAATGAACTACAAAATGAAGTGTAATAAAGAATTCAAAGAGTTATTCCATTAAAAAAAAATTCTCTTGTTGACAACATGTAGTATTTTCCAGCTGTTACATTGATGTTTTGAATGAGCATGAGATATGTAAAGATCTAAGCTTAGAATGTATTTGTTTATTTATTTATTTTTGAGACAGGGTTTTGCTCTATCACCCATGCTGGAGTACAGTGGTATAATCACAACTCACTGCAGCATCAACCCCCTGGCCTCAAGCGATGCCCCTACCTTAGCCTCTCAAGTAGCTGGGACTACAGACACACACCACCATGCCCAGTTATTTTTATCTTGTAAAGATACGGTCCCACTATGTTGCCCAGGCTGGTCTCAAATGCCTGATCTCAAGTGATTCTCCTGCCTTGGCCTCCCAAAGTTCTGGGATTACAGGCATGAGCCACCATGCCTGGTCTAAGCTTAGAATTTCAACAATGAGATTCATATATATCTTAGGTTGAATTTGTTCAAAAGCAAAGCCTAAGTTAAGACAGTGGTTCATTTATTTTTTTCAGGACACAGTACCAAGATGAGGCAGCAAGCAGAGTGAGGCAGGGAAGGAGGAAAAGCCAATGCAACGATGTGTTATCAAGGTTTCTGCTACGAGCAATTGAAGCTCAAGTCCACCAGGGGTCTCTTAGAAGCCTGTAGACCAGCTTCCAATTGTTCACATCTCCAGTGAGCAGGAGGCTGGAATATTCATCCCTCAGTTTCCATTCCCCTTTGGATAAGAATGGTCCCTGAGAGTGTTAACTTCTTTACAGTTCTAGGCTGTACTCTCATGCTGGCCTGGCAGGCTTGATGGCATCTCAATGCTCTGGGCAGAAAGCAAAAAGGCACACAGCCTGTGCTTAAAGTTGTATTAGGTTGGTGCAAAAGTAATTGTGATCACAATTACTTTTGCACGTTGTCAGACCAAAGTGAGTTACACAAACCAGTCTACCCCTTCTGCAACTAAATTAATGCTGGGGGTATGTGACAGAGGACATCAGTAGAATCTCCTACAGCTTGGTTCCTTGGAGATTTAAATGATGGGAAATTGCATGAGTTTTCTCTGGAGTAACTTAGTAGCTCCAGAAAAAACAAATTTACAGATACCAACACTGGAGAAATCTCAGTGTGGCAGGGCTACTAACGACCTATCTTGACCTCCACTCTCCACTTCTGCAATGAGACTCCAGTTTTTTTGAGGTAGCAATGCATCCAGCTAAAAGACTAGGTTTTGTAGTCTTGCTTATAGCTATGATTACAGCTAGATATGATCATGTGTTTATTTCTAGCCAAAATGTGTAAGCAGAATGTTGTGCGGGGCTTCTGGAAAATTACTTTTTCTCTGCCTTCCTCCTTCTTTCTGACTGTAATGCAGATATAATGGCCAGAGGTTGAGATGTCATGTAGATCATCAAGCATTGAACTGAGAGTGATATAGCAAAGTAGATACTAACTGTGGTATAGCAAAGTTGCCTATCCCTGATGATATGGAGCTGTTATACCAACCCTAGGCTTCCAAATCTGGGCATTTTTTTTAATGTAAGGCGAAAATAAATTTTTATTTACCTAAGCATCTGTTATTTTGGGATTTTGTGTTACATTCAACCAGATCTCATCCTGACTAATATATCACATGAAGGGTGTGGGATGTGCCCCACCTCCCTGCAGTGAAGGTCATCAATTCACCAGCCCTGCCTACACACATGAGAGCTTCCAGCCTGCTTTCTTGTCTCTCATTCTTAAGCAGATTGCACATTGCAAAGTTACCAAATATTTTTGAAAAGATTGCAGTGCCAAAAACAAAGACCAAAAGACAGACTTTGAGGAACTAGAGACAATTCTAGAAGCAAAAGAAAATGCTAAAATAAACTAAAGCATACTTAACATGAACATTCTTTAAAAATAAGAAGAGGCTGGGTACAGTGCTTTGTGCCCATAATCCCAACACTTTTGGAGGCTGAGGCAGAAGGACTGCTTCAGGCTAGGTATTCAAGACCAGACTGGGCAACATAAAGAAACCCTGATGCTACAAAAAATAAAAATAAAAATATTAGCTGGACACGGTGGCATGTACGTACAGTCCCAGCTACTTGGGAGGCTGTGGCAGGAAGATCACTCGAGCCCAGGAGTTTGAGACTGCAGTGAGTCATGCATGATTGTACCACTGCATTTGAGCTTGGGTAACAGACTATGCATTCTTTTATTTATTTAGACAAATAAATAAATACAAGAATTAAATATAAGAATATCATTTTGGATGTAAAGTATGTCTTATTTATTTATTTAATTATTTAGTTATGAATTATGTATTATTATTTAGTAATTTATTTAAAAACATAAATAAGACATATTTTACATCCAAAAAAACTAACAAAATGCAAAGAAACAAAAGCTTAAAAATGTAAAAGAGTACTCAGAACTGGAAAAAGTTCTTGAAAATTAAATACCACAGCTGAAATTAAACACTCAATAGTTGACCTGGAAAGTTAAGTTGCTAGAAAATAGGATATATTAGAAGCAGAAAGACTCAGTCCAGGAGGTCCAACAGATACACATTTTGAAAAGAGAAAGAGAAGAATGAATGGGAAGAAATTATAAATGAAACTATATTGGAAAGTTACCTTAAATTGAAGTTTCTATGAAAAAAGGGCCAACTTACTGTCCAAATGTTAATACAAAAGACCTACATCAAGGGACATAATTATAAAATTTATAAATTTATAGATACCTAGGTAAAGAGAAGCTTTCCAAAATCTTTCAAAAGAAAAACATCAAGAATCAGAGTATAAACCTTTCAACAGCAGCACTAGAGTCTGGAAAATAATGGAATCTTCATTATCTTTTAAAGTTCTCAGGGAAATTTCTTTTAAACTGAAATTCTGTATCTAGTCATACTCTCAATCAAGTGTGAGGATGGAATAAAAGGCATTCTTAGGCATGACAAA